CTCTCTCTCTCTCTCTCTCTCTCTCTCTCTCTCTCTCTCTCTCTCTGTCCCTCTCAGGACCTTGCATTTGCCAGGTAGGTGCTATCTCCTGGCCTCTTATGTCTTTCTGGATTTTTTTTTTTTTTTTTCAGAACCGGGGATTGAATTTAGGCCCTTGCGCTTGCCCGGCAAGCACTTATTCTACTGAGCCATCTCCCCGACTCCTTCTTATGTCTTTTTGAAGCAGGATCTTATGCAGTTCAGGTTGCTCTTAAACTTACTTTTAGCCCAGGCTGGCCTCAAACTTGAAGTGATCCTCCTGCCTCAGCCTACCCAGTGCTGGGATTACAGATGCTCAACGCCATGTCCCACACAAATCTTACCTTTAAAGTTACCTACCACACAACAAAAGCTTGATCAGCCCTTCTTATTGGTATTTGGAAATGATGATGAGTTGCCCAGGAACTGGGGAGTATGGGGATAAGACTGTTCTCCTGGTCTCCAGATATAACATCTGGATGAGATAGATTTGAATGAAGTGTGCAGTGTTGCACATATTTATTAATTCGTTTATTTTTGTGGCACCAGGGATTGAACCTAGCACCTTCAATCTGAGCTATATTCCCAGTGCTTTTAATTTTTTTTTTTTTTTAATTTTGAGAGAGGATTGCTGGGCACGGTAGTGTACACCAGCAGTCTCTGTACTTGGGAGCTTGAGGCAGGAGGATCGTTGCAAATTCGACATGAGCCTGGGCTACAACGTGAGTTCAAGGCCAACCTGAGCTGCAAAGCAAAATCCAGTCTCAAAAAGACAGGGAAAAAAAAGGGGGGGGGGGACAGGGCCTCCCAGAGTGCTGGGATTAAAGCAGGCAGGTACTCCATGCACAGAGCAGTTGTGCCCGTTAAAAGGCAGAGGACCACTCTACCTCTCGGAGGCTGCGGCTGCAGCCAGACAGCACACACAAGTGCGTGAGGAGGAGTACAGCTGAGGCTACTCGGGCCGGCAGCCTGCTGTGTGCAGAGCGAGGGCGTCCAGGACAAGCTCCTGGCCAAGCGACTGTTGGCAGTGCCCGGCAAGCCTCTTGGGGCCTTGCGCTATTTGATTTCTGTGCGGGTTCCCCTAGGTTAAGTAAACGTACCAACCGTATGACCTTCAGCTATTCTGATGCCTGTGACGGTCATTTCTAATTATAAATGAGTCCTGGACTTTTGACTGGGGAGGAAAAGTGCTTATCCTGTGGACCTGAGTGTGTTGATCCTTTTTTATGTCTTATTTTTATTTTTTTTTGTACTTGAGACAGAGTCTACAGGGTATACAGGGTCTTACTACATAGATCAGACTCATAGTGATCCTCCTGTGTTCAGCCTTCTACGCACTGGGATTACAGGCATGTGCCACCACGCCCAGTCTCATTTGCCCTCTCAGTGCCCCCTGTGGGCAGGACTGGCACGGCTGGGAACAAATCCCAGCTGCTGTGCTCTGCCTAAGCAGGTGCTTTAGTCCGCTGAGCTATCAGGCTGGTCCTGATGCTGTTCTGTTGGGGTTTTTTAGGTTTTTTTTTTTTTTTTTTTGTGGAACCGGGGATTGAACTCAGGCCCTTGTACTTGCCAGGGAAGCACTTATTCCACTGAGCCATCTCCCCAGGCCCCTTGTTGCTTTTTTAACAACTACCTGGTTAGTGACTCTTTGGCTGGATGACCCGCTGCTCAGACTGGGGTGTTCAGATGGCACTGTAATTTCTGTAGCTCGCACGGCACAGCCAAGTGCTGTAGCTCTGCGTTCTGCTGTACGTGATAGTACTGCCTGTGCGAGCTACGCAGACAGAAGCAGTCATCCAGCTGGAGGTGCCTTTGACCAGGTCTTTGCTCTGAGCACAGCAATGTACGCGGGCTATACAATTCTTCATTTAGTGACAAAACAATGTAACGACCTAGATGTAGGAACTGAACTCTTCATTCAACACGGAGTGCCGGGATTACGGCTAGCATTTTCTCAGTGCAAACTATGAGCTGACAAGCTCTCTGCTCCCTAGGCCCATGAAGCCTGGTTATAGGTCCAGCTGAAAGAGGTGTCTACTCTAGAAGTATTGGCCAAACCAGTGTGGACTTTGCTGGCCTGAGACCAAATAGGTTGCAGTACGTGGCAATTTTACCAAGGAAACTAACTCTGATCCCTGGTAATGTCTGGCTGGCCTGTTTTTCTGGTAGTGACATTAATGATGACATACCATGAGATGTATTTACTTCTACAATCTGAGCACTAGCCATATGGACAGAACATCCCACTTCTGTCACCTGTCTTAAATAAAGCTTGAAATCTGGCTTCTGAACAATAAGTAAACGATCGAGGTAGAAGCTCCCGCTGCTTCCTGTGGTCCTCGTACCGAACTCACCAATGGACATTTGATGACATGATCCAAAAATGACATACACCACAGAAGAGCAGAAAGCCGAATACGCTACATTCAGAGGAGGAATCAGTTGCCTCGTCAGCAAGCTAAGGATCAGACCTGGAAAGCAGGGTAATTCAAGTAAGAAAAGGTAGCTCGGCTTTTCAAAGTCACTCTAAGTAATGGTGTCTAGCTAGCCCCCCACGGCCTTATGAGCTCATAGGAAGAGCTTTCTCAGGGGTGGCGGGATCAACAGTTGTGACCCGTGGCCAGTTTTGTTTCACGCATGCCCACACCTATCCCATCCTGTCTTATTTTGAAGCAATTTCAAGATATGAAATGATTTCAGAAAAAAAAAAACAAAACAACTAGTAAAGGGGCTGGGGAGATGGTTCAGTAGAATAAGCGCTTCCCTGGCAAGCACAAGGGCCAGAGTTCAATCCCCCGTTCCTGGAAAAAAAAAGAAAAAAGAAATGATTTCAGGGCTGGGGAGACGGCTCAGTGGAATAAGCACTTCCCTGGCAAGCGCAAGGGCCTGAGTTCAATCCCCGGTTCCTGGATTTTTCTGTGGATCAGGGAGGGGGGTTATTTATTTTAGCTTCTTTTTTTTTTTTTTTTTTTTTTTTGTTGGTGGAACCAGGGATTGAACTCAGGCCCTTGCGCTTGCCAGGGAAGCACTTATTCCACTGAGCCATCTCCCTGGCCCCTTTAGTTTCATTTTTTTAAAAAAATATTATTTATTGACATATTTCGTACAGGGTCTGTTACTACTTTCTTTCTTTCTTCTTCTTCTTCTTCTTCTTCTTCTTCTTCTTCTTCTTCTTCTTCTTCTTCTTCTTCTTCTTCTTTTTTTTTTTTTTTTGGCAGAACTGGGGATTGAACTCAAGCCCTTGCGCTTGCCAGGGAAGCGCTTATTCCACTGAGCCATCTCCCCGGCCCCTTTAGCTTCATTTTTTTAAATCATGTTTGTAATATATAGAAACTGCCTAGTGCTAGCATCCCTGTCTCAGCTCCATCTCAGCTCTCAGGCATCAGCCTCTCAGAAGGATCATCCCACCTAGATCTCCCATGTGATGGATCAGTCTGCTTTTCCCTCTTATGAGAATCTTATGTCACTGCTGATCTAGCAGGAACCAGAGTTTGGGCAACAGTGTAAGAAATGGGTAGCTGAAAGCCTATTGGTTGATGCCACCCCCACACAGGGCGGGGCTTCTATTATCCACACCCAGAACAAGGCCAAACCAATTTAGTGATCACACACCCTTAGTGCCAGCGTCACACACCCATGGTCCAGCCAGCTCACCAAAGCCCCACCTGTGAGGACATCACATTTTGGGGGATACCTAGATATAAGCCATGACAGTGGCAAAAACAAGCTGTGGGGAAGATACCTAGAAAGGGGATGGCTGAGTCACTTGGAATTTCTAATTCTAGGTCTTTGAGGGATCTCCATACTGATTTCCATAATGGTACTCATTTACAGTCTAGCCAACAGTGTAGGAGGGTTCCTTTTTCACCACAGCCTTGCCAACATTTGTTATTTTTGGATTTCTTGATGATTGCCATTCTTTCTGGAATAAGATCCAATCTTAGCACTGTTTTAATTTGCATAGTTTAAACACCATACCATGGGGACTGGGGAGATGGCTCAGTGGAATAAACACTTCCCTGGCAAGCACAAGGGCCTGAGTTCAATCCCCAGTTCTGGAAACAAACAAACAAACAAACAAACAAAAAGCATGCCATAGCATAGTGATATACGTATACTAATGTTTAGAACAGCACAATTTATAATAACTAACTATGGAAGCAGCCTGTACACCCTTCAACAGATGGTTGGATAAATAAAATGTGGAGCTACATAGTGGAATACTACTCAGTTATATAGAAGGATAAATTTAGCCAGGTGTTGTGGTGTACACCTGTAACTCTAGAGCTTGGGAGGCTGAGGGAGGCTGAGGCAGGAGGATAGTTAGTGATAGTTAGTGACCAGCATGTGCTACAAAGTGAGCTCAAGGCCAATCTGAACTACAAAGGGAAACCCTGTCTCAAAAAGACAGGAAAAAAAAAAAAAAAAAAAAGGACAAATATGAGACTTTTGCAGGAAAATGGATGCACCTGCAAAATATAACATAGTATGAAATAAACCAGACACACAAGCTTAAATTAAATAACTTATGATGTCTCTCATTTGAATAAGGCAAAGTACAAACAGAGACATTAAAAAAGATGAAGCCCAGGAGGTGGATCTCTTGCAGATGGGAAGGGGCCCAAGAGGCGGAGGTCCAGGGCTGGGGGAAGGGGAGCAAGGAGAACAAGGCTGCGCCAGGCACAGGCACTTAATGACCTCAACTAGTGCAAACATGATACATCCTGAGCACGAGCTAAAAGTAATAGTAGCAGCAAGAATGAAAATGGGGAAAGAGAAATTAGAGATGGGAGGGACGGGAAGGAGAATTTAAAGCAGAAACAAGCTGCGCTACAGCCATGTTCCCACTGCTCAAGATGACTGCAAACCATGTGTGCTGCCCACACATACTTGAGGAGGGCCACCTGGGTAGGACTGTCCTTGAAAGAAGGCAGTCATCTCCGTCTTCGCTGAACCTGACCCTATTTCCATGTATCGAAATGTACGGAGCTGGCGAGGACTTTTCCTTATCCCTTCCATTGGTTTTAAGCAATGCCTATTGGTCTAGACAAGGTGCTGGTGGTAGTCATTGAAGATGGCAGGCATGTTCATCCCCCACCTGCTGCTGGTTAATATGAACTGGGTGAAGATGAGACCAAGAGCCAGTGCTCCACACTGCTGGCTGGGATCGAGCCTCGAGACAGAGGCTATGACTTCCTGGGGCTTGAAAGATTACGCATCAAAGCTGAAGTACCAGACCCCAAAACACTGGGTACTATCTCAACTGTGTAATGCAGGTACCCTTCTCTCTGCGTATCGCGGAGGTAAACCAGGCCTCTACCTAGCCCAGCACGCAGTAATAACCTACTTCCTGCCATTCTCAGTCATTCATCCTCAAGCCACTCCTCCTTCATGACTGAATAAAACCAGGTTGGGTCCTAGGTCGAGGCCTTTGTCTCAGAAAGCCTTCATCATGGCTGGACTTAGCGCCCCTTGGCTCTCCACAATTACAAAGATGCCTTAGTGTCTTTATTCTCACCATGGGTTGCACTGCAGGTGGGAGACTGGAATTAATTTGACAGGATTCTAATAACTTATCCATGGGATTACAAATACAAATTTCCTGGACTGAGTCGAGGAGCAGGAAGGGTACTTTATACACACTAATGACTCTACCCAGCCCCAACTTCCATCTTTGTTGTGCTTTGGCGAGTTCTCATTCAGGTCACCAGTCACCAGGGATAGCTTCCAAGGTGCTGACCCGTGAGGTCACATGCCACCGTGGGTTGAGGAGGCTTCACATTTGGTTTAGTGCTGTGCTCTCACAGTGAGGAAATTCAGGGCAGGCACTAGAGTAGGAACCCTGTGTTTGCATCCCTCGCCCCCCAGCCTCAGCAGGCCTTTGCCCTTAGCTTGGTAGCAGCCTCTGGGGGGAGACCTGGACTCTGACATATGATGCATTGCTGTTACATGCTGTACTCTGTTACAATCTCTGGGTTTAAATCAAAAACTCAGTGCTCACTGGGCTTGATTCATCTCTCTCGTCTCTTAGAATCTACAGGTTCACTCTGCTGTGTGTGTGTGTGTGTGTGTGTGTGTGTGTGTGTGTGTGTGAAGCAAGTTTCTATTGATTACGGCTGGATGTGTTTGAGGCCGGGGAGATGGCTCAATAGAATAAGTGCTTCCCTGGCAAGCACAAGGGTCTGAGTTCAATCCCCGGTTCCACCAAAAAATAAAAATAATCAATCAATCAATAAAAAGGCTGGATGTGGTGGCACATGCATGTAATCCTAGCACTCGGGAGGCTGAGGCAGGAGGTTCACTGAGTTTGAGGCCAGCCTGGGCCATAAGGCTAGTTCATCCTTGCGGGGTGTGGGGAGGTGGGGCTTCTACTGATTACAAGAAACAGAAAACAAGCTGGGTATGATGGTGCACACCTGTCATCCCAGCTCCTGGGAAGCTGAGGCAGGAGAATCATGGGGAGACCAGCCTGGGCTACAAAGTGAGCTCAAGGCCAGCCTGACTGCACAGTGAAATGTTGTCTCAAAAAGACAAAAAAAAAAAAAGTTCACTTGAACCTAGAAGTTCAAGGCCAGCCTGGACAACATTGCAAGACCCTGAGACCCCTCTTAAAGGGAGGAGAAAAACAAACAAACAAAAACCAGAAAACATGCTCAACTTAGCATAAGCAGAACAGGAAATGTGTTCAGAGTCCGAAGGGTAGCTGAACCTTAGCAGGCCTTGGGCTACGCGGCGGCTAGTTCCCCGTTTTCATTGCGTTCTGTCTTCTTGCTTTTTTTTTTTTTTTTTTTTTGTCGGAACCGGGGATTGAACTCAGGCCCTTGCACTTGCCAGGCAAGCGCTTATTCTAGTGAGCTATTTCCCCAGCCCCGCGTTCTGTCTTTATTACCAGTTTGCTGCTGTTAGGAACAACATTGCTGTGAACATTCCTGTGTACATCTCCTGGTGTATACACACACGAATTCCTCAAGATTATAACTTTTACAAGTTTCTTAGTTACATCTTCTGGGGCATATATTTGATAATGCCAAACTGCTTTTCCACATGTTTGTACAACTTCAATCCCATCTGGCCATATATGACAGTTCCCTTGTTCACTTTTGTGCTCCCGTGCAAACAATGTCAGATCTCTAATCGTAGTGTGCATAGTGGCAGCTCAGTTTAATTTTGAGTTCTCTGTTAATTATTATGATTTTTTTTGGGGGGTGCAGAACCGGGGATTGAACTCAGGCCCTTGCACTTGCCAGGGAAGCTCTTATTCCACTGAGCCATCTCTCCGGCCCCTCTCTGTTAATTATTAACAATACTGAACATCCTTTTCTAGTTACCTCTTTATGGACTTTTAGGACTACATACGTAAACTCCTCTGACTATCTATCTATCTATCTATCTATCTATCTATCTATCATCTTCTTACATCAACCCCCTTAGGGACTGGGGAGATGGCTCAGTAGAATAAGCGCTTGCCGGGAAAGTACAAGGGCCTGAGTTCAATCCCCGGTTCCACAAAAAACAACAACAACAACAAAAAAAAACCCTTACTCTCCCCCTTCCCTTCCCTCCCTCCTTCTCTCCCTCTCACTTTCTCTCTCTCTCTCTCCCCCCAGTACTAGGGATCAAACACAGGACTTCATACATGCTAGGAAAGTGCTGTAATACTGAGCTATAGCCCCAACCCTTTCAATCTTTACAGCAGCTTTGAATAGGCAGAAGTTCTTAAATTTTATACAATTCAATTTATCACTCTTTCCTCTTGCTTTTTTCTGTTTTGTTTAGGAACCTCAAGATTGAACGGGGCATGGTAGTACATGCTGCAATTCCAGAACTCGGGAGCGGGGGAAGGGTGGGAATGAGACAGGAGAGTTTGAGACCAGCCTTGGGGCTACAAAAGTGAATACAAGGGGCCGGGGAGATGGCTCAGTGGAATAAGCGCTTCCCTGGCAAGCACAAGGGCCTGAGTTCGATCCCTGGTTCTGAAAAAAAAAAAAAAAGTGAATACAAGACCAGCCCGAAGTGCATAACAGAGACCCTCCCTGTCTAAAAAAAAGAACCTCAAGATTGTAATGATATTCTCCTATATTATTAAAAATTATTGTTTAGTCATTCACATTTAGGTCTTTAATCTGCCAACAACACTTTTTTGTGCACGGCATAGGGTAGTGATCTAAAATATTTTTTCTTGCTTGTATCCAATTGTTTTACACTGTTGATCATTAAGAAGTCTGTCTCTGCAATGGCATATCTGATATAGATCATATGACTCATCTGTGTCACTCTGTTTTCTGTTCCATTGTCCCAATTATCTCTGTCTAATACCATACTGTCCTAACTGCTTTATGAGTAATTTGTTTAGTAATAATTTTAGTAATTAATTTAATCATCCCCATCTCATTGTGAAACATAACACATCTATGGAAAATAGACTTAAAAAGTTGTGTTCAGCAATTAAAAAGGAATAAACTATTCATACATATAGTTTGCATGAATATCAAAAGCAAAACACAGGCTGGGCATGGTGGTGCATACCTGCAATCCCAGCACTCGGCGGCTGAGGCAGGAGGATTGCTGCCAGGCTGAGGGCAGCTTGGGCTACATAGTGAGCTCAAGGCCAGACTGAACTACATGGCAAGACCCTGTCTCCAGAAAAAGAAAAATGAACGCTGAAGGAGAAAAGCCAGCCTTCCAGAGTTCCATGCCATATGGATTTATTTATATGACATTCTCAGAGAGGCGGAAGCACAGCAGCAGAGACCACAGCAGTGGCACCGAGTCGTAGAGGGGGGCTGTGACTGTGACGGGAAAGCTCAGGTGAGATTTGAGGGTGACAGAACTTTCTGTATCCAGTGTAGTGGTGGCTTTGTCACAGAAAATAGACCAAGCATGGGAGGAAATGGCACCAGGAAGGTTTAGGAGGCAGTCTACTACCCTGCTGGGCCTGACTGGAATCTCTCAAAGAGTCAGGGTCCCACCCTGCAGAGTTCTGGGACTTTTACAGGGAAGACAAGTGGAAAGGTACAAAGGCAGATTCGACACATTTGATTGGAGGGTTGGGTGACATCATGGGTTGCCAAGGGATTTTAAACATCTCAAGTTACACTGCAAGGCCATAAGTTAAGCTAGCATGAGTTACACAAAGGAAGAAAGGTCCTGTTACTTTTTTTTTTTTTATGGAACTGGGGATTGAACTCAGGCCTTTGTGCTTGCCAGACAACCACTTATTCTACTGAGCCATCTCCCCGGCCTCCGGTCCTGTTACATTTGAAGTTACATTGCAAGGCCACCAGAAAGACAGGGGTTTACATAAAGGAAAGAGTGTTCTGTTTTCAGGCCTGCTGGCCATGTCCATTTTGTTTGTGGCAGGCATCTTGAGAAGGCTTTTATTTAGAATTTACAATCCCCCCTGCATTTCCACAAATACATTCATGTGTTAAAATTCCTGAAACTGTCCATCACAGGAAAAAAGTGGAATGTACTGCAGGGCAGTTTACAAACAGGTACCTCTTCTACTTTGTTTCCCCCGTTAACATCCCTGTGCCAGAGCTGCACTTCAGCCGCCACTTGCCTCGGGGTGGCCTCCTCTTGGCACCATTATTGTAGGCAGCTGAATTAGATAGAAATATTACAGGCAGTCAGACAGGGCCAGGCCCTCAAGGAGACAAGATGGAGGACAAGGTGACCTTGCAACTTGGAAGAGACAGACACTCCCATGTGGGCCACACCTCAGGACCAAGACAAAAGAGAAGCACAGCTACATACTTCCCTAGGGATGGGCATTAGGGATTGATATCCTAAATAGTATCAATCAACTTGAAAGAGCCCAAATGAGTCACTAGCCCAACTCCCAACAGGAAGAGACCCTGTCCCATGTTCATGCCCCCCTAGCTATGACTCACTTCCCATTTGGTACTGGATTCAATCAATTTTACCTGAGCAATGGTGCTTGTAATCTCATTGGTTGACCATAGTTTTGGCCCACCTCATGCCCAACTAAGCGAGTTCCCTTGTCTTCTTCACCACCTTAGACCTGCCTTACCACATGGTTTTCCTCTATAAAAGTCCCTGGAAGAGACAGCTTCCTGGGGACCGCCCACTCAGGACCCCCTGCTGTCCCTCTCTCAGACAGGAGCATTCTTTCCCTTCGATAAATTTATTCTGCTCATAACCTCCGTTTGTTCCTAAAATTCATTCTTTGGTTTTAGAGAACAGGAACTCGTCCCTGGTACCTTTTAGGTTGGAAGACCAGTTTTTCTCCCTGTGTCATTTAGAGGTTTCCCTGTATCAGCATCACCAGCCTTAACTGTAATGTGTCAACTCACATTTTAGATTATAAATGTAAATCTTGTGTTTTCTGTTGTGTAAAAATGTATACTCACCACTGTTCTAAGTTGTTTAGTAACCAGAGATAAAATTCCTGGAACCCTCACCAATTCCTGTTAACAAAGTTAGCTTACAGAGATGACCTCAAAAAGAAATTAAATGGGCTTTAACTTCCTGTAACCACTGGCTATGCAAGGCTGCATGCAAGTACTCAGGGGCAAGATAACCAAAAACTAAAAGAAAGCCTCAGGAAATTTAGTTTGAGTAGTGGTCACAATGACCCTGAAAGCATTATTGTGTGTCAGACGATGAATTTGTTTACCAAATGGAATATGGTTCTAGGTTTTAAAACGGCCCCTGCTTCCTGGGCTAGCTGCCTTTGGTCTTCTCCTGTGCGAGAGTGGACAGGGGGCCCTGAACTCAGTAATAAACAGCTTTCCAAATTCCAACCTAGCTGATCTGGTTCCTATTCTGAGCGGCCCACTTGTGAGTGGGCCCCGGAAGAACTGAGCACTGGACATGTTTAAAGACTGTGTGTGTGCGGTGGGGTGTAGCTCAGTGGCAGAGCACCTCCCCTGGTTTGCACAAGGGCCTAGATTTGTTTGTTTATTTATTTATTTTTGCAGAACCAGGAATTGAACTTGGGACTTTGCACTTGCCAGGCAGATTAAGATGCTGAGCTATATCCCTCAAGGCCCCCTAGACTTAATGGGTACAACACACACACACACACACACACACACACACACACACACACAGAGCCCATTCTCTGTGGACAAATTTGGTTTCAGGTTAACTTTCTCCTCTGTTTCCCTGGAGACCCAGTAACAGCAGAATGTCAGCTGAGCTAGCAGCCAGAACTGATTATCATAAAAATGATCCCAGCTAGACTGCTCAGTCTGGACCAAGGGAACTGGGAGGCACGACCAATACCCACAGGGAAACCCGAGCTCTGGGCCTCCGGAGCAGAGAGGCTCTGGGAACGTGGTTTGCCCTTGCAGGTTCTGGGAGCACCACCCAGCGCACTGTTTTGAGGAGGTTGATTCCCATCTGGAAAATGAGGTTTCCAAAACCCAGGCAGCTCCCACTCCTATCTATGTGACACTGTTGGGTCTTACATCTGAAATGCCACGGGGCAGAAAGGAAAAAGGTCCCTGGGCTGTCACCTGCTGGAGAAATGCTAGCCTTGGCCAGGGAGATGGCTCAGTGGAATAAGCGCTTCCCTGGCAGGCGCAAAGGCCTGAGTTCAATCCCTGGTTCCACCAAAAGAAAAAAAAAAAAAAAACCAAAAAAAGAAAGAAAACAAATGCTAGCCTCCTGTTTCCTAGCCTTTGCCTTCTAAGAAAAAAACAATGCCAAGTGATATCTACTGCAGCCATGAGCGTGGAAGGACCAACACATGACCCACAATAGGTGTGGTGATTATTCTGCAAAGCAGTCCGGCAGCCCTAAACCAAACTGAGTCTTTTTTTTTTTTTTTTTTAATGTTTATTTTAATTTTTTTGGTGGAACTGGGGATTGAACTTCAGGCCCTTGCACTTGCCAGGCAAACACTTATTCTACTGAGCTATCTCCCCAGCCCCATAAACTGAGTCTTGGGATGCGTCCCAGAAAGGCTAGCAATCGGCCAGTCCAGGGAATAAATGGTAATGTTGTGAACAAAATTCACATGTTTTTCTATTTACTCAGCACAAGTAATTGCTTGCTTTGATAAACTGCCTTTAGATAGGAAGGCTTTGTACCTTTCTTACCTTGGGGAACTTGCACAATGCCAACACTTATGCCAGCAAGTAAATCTCCAAAAAGCCAATCCTTGAATCGATACAAACACATCCATTCCAGGAAGGGAAAGACTGTAAGCATGCATCTCAGGAACTTGGGCCACGAACAGCTGGGAGAAACAAGAGCAGAGATGGATTAGGGTCCCCAGAGGGGGCCACAGAGCCAGAAAAGGCGGGTACAGTCCTTGTTCCCCAACAGCAGCCTTCTCGGGGGCACTCATGACACAGGACACACTGGACCGAGTCGTTCTCAGCTATGGGGTTGGTTGCTCTGTGCTCTGTGGGTGTCAAACCGCACTGCTGGCCTCTATCCACGGATATAGTACTCCCTGCTCCCCCTGCTGTGACCGTCAAAAGCAGCTCTGTGCATCGTCAAGCCACCTGGAGAACCAGTGCCAAGCCTGTGGCAAGAACTAAGACTCATGTCCAGTGCACAGTTGTATCCGGTCTTTACTGGATATTTGGAAAGAATTAAGCCTACTAGTTTCCACTAGAAGATGGGTTGCTATTGCTTTCTCTGGATGAGGACAGTTTTTTTTTGGGGGGGTGATAATGGGGGGGAGTTAGCATGTTTGCATCTTTCCCACATAATACAATTATTACCAGATATTAACTCTGTGGCTTTCATTTGTGGCACATAGAAATTTATAGAAAATATGGGGCTGGCGAGATATCTCAGCAGACTAAAGTGCCTGCTTAGGCAAGCGCTGGGACTGTGGTTCGATCCCCAGCACTACCTGCCATGGCAGCCCTGTCCCTAGGGAGGGCTGAGCCAGCTACCAAAAAGAAAAAAAAGAATTAATTTATAGAAAATGGCATCTTTGATAACATGGAGGATTAAGGAGTTAGTTATAGAAAGAAAAGCCTTTATACATGTAATTTTAAATAGATAATTAAGGGGCCGGGGAGATGGCTCAGTGGAATAAGCGCTTC